AGGTAGCCGAAAGAAGAAAAAAAAAATATAAGGAAAAACGAGACATATTTAGCTGTTCCGAGTCGCATAAGCACTTTTGTGGACGATATAAGGCCTTAAAACTTATTTTCGGTTCGTCTGTCATAATCATTGGAGTATTCTGTTGTTGACCTTCAATAATTGATATTTTCTTTCCTTCTTAAATTAGACAAAATGTACTAAAATAATAGCGATATTCACTGTTTACAAACACTGACGTGAGGAATCTTTTCTTATTCAAATTTGCCAGCCATTAAGATCTCTTTGCGTTATTAGCCAGTAGACCGTTTTCTCAAGGTTGCGTGCGCATCCAACTTGACGGGCCACAAAACTGAAAAACGCAAATTCAATAAAATAGACCCTTTTCGAGTTCCAAATTACCGCTGTGTTTCTTGATTACAGACTCATTTGCTCAGGCTAAGCCTCGAATCAGTGTCTAATTACTCGCACATACCAAAGGTAAAGTAAAGAATGCACGAGTTCAACAATACGAACACTTTGAAACTTGACGGACCTTGACTGGAAAAAGTGAATATTCTTCACAAAATCGAGGCTAAGTCTAAGTAAATGAGTCTGTAATCAAGAAACACAGCGGTAATTTGGAGCTCGAAAAGGGTCTATTGAGAAGATAGTTTTATATTTAAAGAGGAGAATAATCGATTTTATGAATTCTTACCGAAAAGCATTTCATAGAAATGCATGATAATACTCGTGTTCTGGTATCGTGGCCCGTCACAAGTTCCTCAAATTTGGATGAAATTAAAACGGTCTATTGATGGGTTGCAAGCAAGAAAGAGAGCCAAAAGACAAAGACATGGCGGCCATTGTGGATGCTAATGGATAAATCTATTGTTAAATGCATGGCATCAACTCTCCCCCGAGCGGCCGCGATGACGTAAAGTACAATCGAAGAATAGATCTCTGGTTGGCACATCAGTCATATCGACAGGTTACTTCAGCGCAAACTTCACCATACGAGGAAATTTTCATCCATTGAATCTAATTGGAATTTAATTCCTATCGAACAAAACTTTTGCTAATCGATAAAAATACAAGCAATTTTTCTTTTTCGCCTACCCGACTAAATTTTGAAGTTTCATATATTTTATATATGTGTAGGAGTATCATGCGTATGTCAGCAAAGTTGCAGGTGGTGTGGCGTGCGATCTCTCGCCTCTCTCCAACCCGCGTAAAACGCAGCGTTCGCAAGAGGTGACACACGATACATAGTTTTCGTACGTCCTTTGGCACAACAAGTTGTACCGTCTCAGCGTCCTAGTCTGAGAATCAAATCTTTTTTGGTTATTATAACCGTTTTTAACTTGTTTAAACATTTACTTTGTTTGTGTCCTAAAGTAAAATCGCAAGGCTTGGAAAACGGTTGCCATTAAAATGGGTAGCTCAACTTCGACATGCAGTAACTTGACAATATTGAAACTTTGCTAACATATATCTCGATTGATGTCATCAAATTGGCTTTTCCACAGGAAACCAGTTTGCTTTGGATTACAGTGGACGAACAGGTTATCGTGAAAGGCAATTGAAGACAGACAAGCCTTTAAGTGCTCTTACGGCGTGCTTTTGGATGAAAAGATCAGAAACCGACGATGCATATGTATTTGTTTACACAACAGCGGTTGATGATAAGAAAAAAGTTTACATGGTTGTGGATTCAGAAGAAGTAAAATTTAGGGTTCTTGATTCAAGTGAATTGTAAGTACTGCTCTTCGGAAAACCTTTACCAAAATAAAAACTCTCTACAGACTAGTTATAGCTTACAGTACATTGACCAAACATAATACGCGCTAACTTTCCCTGCATACCTAAATATGTTGAACTATACTCTATGACATGACTCATTAAACTTCTCCTTGCACTCATGTAGACTGAGAATTTGGATAATTTATATTTTGATTGCGTTGCGTTGTAAAATCTAAAAATGTCTACATTTTTTTATTCGTAAGAAAAGAAAAGGTTTTATCTTGAAAAAGCTTTAATATCTTAGATTCTGTATTCGCAATATTACTTTTTACGAGAGTATCCAGCATTCCCACCTAAGAGACCTAGACATATTCCTAGTTGAAATAATTTTAAATATTTGCGGTCACGCTGAGTTATATTCCTAAACTGAGTCTTGAATATGGTTAGCCTATAATCCGATTAAGTCTAACTCCCTAGGGATATACGCTCAATTGAAGAATCGTTGTCGAGTTCAGAAACATAGAACATAAAAGCTGAGACCGAAATGGCACATGGGAAATGACATATAATTATATTTTAATTTATTCGTTTGCGCCATCCATGCAGTCGGTTTATATCTAGAATGACAAACGCGTATTAAAAACAGTGGATGATGCCAAGGGTCGCCGGTAACAGCATGCATATTATTAACGTACTTCCCATGTGCCATTTCGGTCTCAGCTTCTATGTTCTATGTTTCTGAACCCGACAACGATTCTTCAATTGAGTGTATCTTGAATTCGTAATGACCAGGGATATATGGGATATAAAGCTTCGAAAATAACAAAGAAAACCGTGTCAAGTAGGAGCCAAACCCAAATATATACCCAAATAAGTCCGTAACAATATCTATGATGTGTCATAATTGAAGATAATGGGAAGACCTACATTTAAATGTTAGGCACTGTGACCAGTCTTACGAACGTTCTGTAATTAATTTAGTACCCCACTGATACGAATATCTATATCTATAGGCGTATAGAGTTCAAAGAAGAAATTGCAGAGAACACTGTAATAAGTGTGTGTTTGACCTGGGACAAGGACAAAAGATGCAACGTGTACAAAAACTCGGTGCTCCAGGATTTCAAACTGACTCCATCAAATACGCCTGAAATCCCTCCAGGTGGAACATTTGCACTCGGAGGGAAGAAAGATAAAATTTTCAAAGGGTTTCTCAGCCATTTTAACATGTGGAGTTACGTCTTGCCTATGGAGACCATCGCATTGATAAGTCACCGGTGCTGGGCGGAACGTGGAGACGTAATTTCTTGGGAAGACTTTAAGGATGGAGGTCCTGTGTCTGGTGTGGTTCATGCTCTTGAAGACATTTGTCCAGAGAGAGGTAATGTTCTCATTTTTTTAATTAGAAATAATAATAATAATAAGTAAAATTTAAATAGCGCCATTTTATTTGTGAATTTCAACAGCGCCTTACATTGAATATAATAAATAATAAATATGATAAAATATATCAACACTTCTATCACAAGAATTAATGATAGTAATTGAAATGAGTGCAGTGCAATTTGGACCAAAATCACAGCGTAGCGTGAGTGCAATTTGTTAATCACARGTATGATTTTGGTCCAAAATTGCACTACACGAAGTTCAGTTACCACTTAATCATATCCTTTTTGTAATCGTACACAAGAAAAAGAAACAATAAAGAGTGCAGAATAATCAATTTAATGTAGCAGAAGAAGTAAATCAATCAGGTTTTTCCTGGTATAAAATAAACGATTTATCAGCAAATCATTAAATATTCATAAATAATGCTAATCATTCTCTTCTCTGATTGGCTGAATATATGAATTCTGTTCTGTGATTGGTTCTTTCAAAAAGATGCGATTAAGAGCTCAAAAGGATGCGATTTGGGAATTAATCGCACTCCTTTGAACCAATCAGATTGCAGGATTTGGTAGTGATTACAAAAAGGATATGATTAAGTATATTATTATCAACGACATTCATTTTTTTAATAAATGCAATCATTATATTCATTGTCATATTCATTATAAACACATTGAATGATAAAATAAATATTTAAATAGAACTTTTAAGAATATCATGCTAAAAGTATAACATAAGAAATATAAAAATACTAAAGATAAATCAAAATGCACGCTTGAAAAGCCTGGTTTTTAGGTCTCGCGAAAGAGTGATAGAAGGGCTCGACTTGATGTTGATTGGAAGTGAATTCGGAACCAATTTCAGATGACACATTTATCTCAACTGGTGAGAAAAAAGAAAATCTTTGCCAAGGCTACTGAACTGCTTGACCGAATTATGAACAACGGGCGCGAAATGTTAAGAAACGGCAGAAGGGCGTGAGTTCATTTCCTTCGGGAGGATCAACACTCAAAGTCTGAATAAAACTTAGAAGAAGGTGCTATCTTCGTAATATATATACTCAGTTACATTCGAAATGTTTAGATCTTCGATTAAGTGGCTCCGACGACCACGTTAATGTGGGCCTCTTTTCTATCAACTAAGATCCGATCACAAGTTCAGTTTTTAATGTAAGAATTGTACATTCTTTTCAAATTCTCCTTTTTTCTGTTTCATGCAGTTCCTATTTGGAACCATCATAATCTCTTGGGGCACTGGCCTCTTGATGGACCGGATCAAAACATCAGGTAATGAAAAACAATTGTGTAGTAAAAGATGAGTCGATTAAGTCGGGTCTGAGGCACTCCAATACTCCAACCCCATGCATGTGATAACCGAAATATGTGAATTCTAATACGACGAATTCATGCTTTTCTCACCTAGAAGGGTGGAGTTTATTGGAGTTGTGCCATTTCTATTGTATTTTCTGTTTGTCTAGCTTACAAGATAACAGTATTTTAAGCAATTATTGGATAAGGTTGAGCAAAACTTGATATCGTGATTTGTTAGCGGCCAAAATCACGATATGTTGAGATAACCGAGTTCAATAATTATTTTATCATTCAAATTATTTTTTCCGTTTTCTTTTTGAGAACGGGGTGTGCTTTGGCTGTTTCTATGCTGTGTGAAACATGCCAAGTCATTTTCTGACAGCTCAGGGAAGCGAACCATGTTGACAAATGCAACGTTACTGCGCAGGAAAAGACAAATATTGACACCAAAACGGCTTTGCACCGTAATGCGCACGAGCAGATTATTTTTGTAGGCAGTTATTTGCCGTTTTCTTGGCCTTATGAAAACGAAGGTAAAATAATTTGAAGGGCATAAAAGTGATTTATTTATTAGCTATTTATTCAAATATAGCAGTAAATTATTCTTTCCTTTCATTCTTTTTCTCTCCCTTTCCTTTAATGATAATGACAAATGCGTTAAAAAATCTATTATACTATTATAAACTTTTTCAGCCTCAATTACAGTGCCGCCTACCTAGAAGGAAGGTATGACCGTACAAGATCTCTGTTCCTGGACAGTACTAAGGCTCATGCCGTGATGCCATCTTACAACTTAAGTGGAAGTTTTACCATAGCCTTATGGTTGAAATACACTTCATTTGAAGATCGTAACGCTACCATACTTTCTAACTGGAAAACTAGTGGTCACGAGTTTATTCTGAAAATCATTGGAAATAAAATTACATTTCGAAGAGCCCGAGCCTCAAGTGAAGAGGTTTTTAAGGCAGGCGGTAAGGAAGTCAATTGGCTTAAAAACGGAATCGAATTGCCCTATAACACTATGACGTCGCATCAAAACGATCTATTGTTTTAACGCTAAGGATCATGGTCGCCAGAGGGGGCAAAATAGCAGCAAAACGAATTAAATCACAATAAAAAATGGTTAATTAGATGGGGAAAGGTGATAACAGATAAATGTTGTACTAAATATCCCGAACAAAAGAAAATTTTGCCTAAATTCCTATCATTCTTGCCCATGTAAACAAGCTGTGACGTCATAATGTTATAGGTCAATTAATCGGACAGCCAGTTGGCCAGTCAGTCCGACAGTCAACCAGTCGGTCAGTTAGTTATCGAGTCAGCTATAATATCAGCCAGTCAGCGACAGCTTCGTCAATTAGACATTCAGTTGCTCAGGGAATGCACCTATATATATATATATATATATATACAGCCATTTGCAAAAATTATGGCCGTTTCAAATATATATACGAATACAGTCAATTCAAAAAATGTTGTCGTCGACCAACTCAAGCCTACGCGACTGGACCGAAAGGAACTCTGGGTAGCAATCATGGAAGCCGAGTTGACTCCATAATTTTATCTGACTAGTTATGCCTGGTTTACAGCACGAGCCTTCGTAGGCGAGCGGGAAATATTGAAGGAGATTTTTTTTAATGCCTTCGTATTTTCGGGATTGTGAACTGAATCATAACTACTTTGTTTTTCTTTCCCTAAACCCAAAGACATGCATTTGATGGATTGTTTCTAGCGGGAACAATTTATTCAGAACGAATATTTAACCGCTTCAGTGATTTTTATCCATATTCGCTTTCGGTCCAGTCGCGTAGGCTTGAGCCGGTCGACGACAACGTTTTTTGAACTGACTGTATATCAAACGTATATCAGACACGGCGGGATATGTATACATATATATATGGTTTGCAAAATTATTTTCAGCCGACATACACCTTTAGAGGGTGTCAATTATATGAGACCATTGTCTTAATTCTTCTTAATTCAATTGTTCTTTAGGCTTGGTTGTTCCTGGTAAATGGTTCCACTTGGCAATAGTATGGAATAATGAAGTGTCATCATCAAGATATGAATTTCAAATGTTTGTTGATGGGAAGCAACAATTAAAGGTTGATAATGACAAACAAACCTGGAATCAGATCAATTCCGAAACATGGGACATCGGAGGAACGACTTATGAATGGAAATATGGTTATTATCTTGGTTATATCAGTGATTTGATGGTTTTTAATAGCACATTGTCAAGTCAAGAGATTGGTCAAGCAATGGGTAAGTAAAATAATGTTTCCGTCACACCACGTGTGATCCTTGGCTTGATTCCCTGTAACCTTAAGTTACCAGACAAGAAAGGGGACAATAAACCTAAACTAGGTGGGTGTACGCCTTTACTAAGAAAAAATTGCTTGGATTTATTCGACGTCATTTCCTGTCTCGAGCGGAAGTACAGTCTAGATGGCCATAAATTGGAGCAGATAATGGGTGCGTTTCCACTAGGACATTTTAAACTAGTTTAACGAAAAAATACCGGAAACACCAGTGGAAACGACTCCGAACTAACTTAAGCTAGTTTAATTAGTCAACTGTTTACACGCAAAAAAAAGCCGAGTTTAGTTGATTCAACTCCGTAAATGTCACCTTTGATAAGCGACCTAAAAACATGGCTTAAGTTGGACTATCGCCGGCCGTGACCAATCAGAGCTCACCATTTGACAATTTGCTGTCAAAATGTTTATCTAGATTAACTTGAAAAGCACCAGAGGGAAGAACGTGGGCTCTCTCTCTTGTTCTATCCTAACCTCAGATTGCGAAGAAATCGATTTCGCTTTCTCAAGAATAAATCAAATGTTAAAAGCAGTGTTGTAAACACAAGCGCTTCTTCTCCCGGCACTTTTTGAATCTCGCGCTATGTATGGTAATGTGATCTATCTAGTTTAAAATCACCTCAAATTACATAATGGAAACAAGCTGCACATTTATTCTAGTTTAAGCTGGTATGTAAACAAACACAATGAGAGTCATTGAAGACTTTTATAAGCTGATTGCAAAATGTAGTAATATCGTTAATCGCTGAAGCTATAGACATCCAGCTGATCTGAGAAAAAATTATAGCCAATTAGAATTTTTGCAGGATTCACCACACTTTAGCTTTGCAGTGACGTCATTTATACGTTACTGTTTCAGATCAGCTGGACGCACCTTTCAAGATGGTGCAGAGAATTGTGGAGGCTTTTCGAGTTTCTTATTTATGTTTTTTTTTTTTAAAAAAGTTCTAGTTGAACCGCTGTGTCAATTTTTGTATCTGTTCATAGTTATGAAAAATACTGCAAATGTGATGTACTTATTTGTTTTACCACCGTTGCCAGGCATTGGTATCAAACAATTCAGTTCTGATTGGAAACCAAGATTTCCAGTGGCGGGGAATCCACTGGTTGGAATTCAGACGAGACAAGAGGCATCCCCAGACGGCAATAACTCTTGTGTGAACGAACGAATGTTCGTACCAGGTGGGAAATAGCTTGAATCAAAAGAAATCACAGTTAGTTAAGTCATATTATAGTATGTAGTGTCAGAATGAGCATGATTACTATTAGACAAACGTTCAGTAGTTTGGGTGCAGGTGTGAAAACCTGGCATAGGGTACTGACATGATACGACTTGTTGCAACACTAATATACGCCTACATATTTTTTCGTGCGCTTTACAAAAAATACACTTAGCTTCTTGGTAAAATACGGTATGTAGAGCTGCAGTGACTACGGATATGTACGTTGTATTTTCTACCAAAACTCAACTTTATTAAAGTGTATAGGACACGAAAATATTCCATCATTTAAAATGTGTAGTTTGTTAGTAATAATGAATATATCGTAACAAAATTTGTTTCAAAAGCTTATTTCTTGAGATATTTGCGAAAGTTAATCCCAATTTGTGACGTCATTTTGTTGACACGTACTC